GAGTGGCGACCTCATAGCTTTTTAATTAAACTGGAAACCGAGGCCGCGATTAATCATTATTATCTAGAAAAATTAAAGCTAGCCGTGTGAGAATGTGTTTCGCCCCTGTCGCATACGTATAAGCCTTCTCTACGCGAACGCGTATTGTGTGTAACACGACGGATTCTATACTGTTTATACGCTGTCGTATGCATTGTATGTGATATTAAAAAACGGAATGGTGTTTATTACATCGCACGTTATGTTCCGAGAACGTCACAAGTTTGTTACAACTGCGATTTTGTGAAGAAAATAACGAGTTTTGTTGGCACTCTGATAAATACTCGCGTTACGTTCTTTTTCTATTCGGCGGGAGATCCGAAACGATGCAGACCGGATCTCCTAATTGAATCCGATAATTGCAAAAATGCTGCGCGATTCGCTTACGGGAAAGGCAGATGAATAGCTTCTATCTTCTATTGTCAATGTGATTAAGAAGCTTGCAAGGATTATGGCCACGTTCAAGATACGTGGAATCAAAATGAAGACTCGGCGCACAAAGACTTACCGTGTTGGCCCGAAATTTGGATTTTTAATCGCACAAAGCGCTAATGAATCCATTTAGCCTCGCGAGAGGACTCGACCAGCTCGACCCTCCCTCGATACAAGGATCTTGGATAAACGGACAAACGAACCAAATAATTACGCTAATTAAAGCCGCCCAATTTGTGCTTTAGACAATTAAAGTGCCGAGGGTAAGGTAGTCTAACTCATTAACAGGCGGGAGTCGTTCACACAGTCGCGCATCTCCCGTGTGTGAATACGTCGTTTCGACATACGTGCGCCCGCACCCATCCTTGTATTTCTCTCTTATTCCCTCTTGTTAGCGATAGAGCGCGGCAAAGGGGCACGCATAATGAGCGAGGGTGCTTGGGTGAGAGGGCGATCCGAAGGGTGGAGGGCGCACTTGCTCGTGAATCTTTCGAAATCGTTCAGCGCGCCGTTTATTGCAATATAATCGAGAATCGGACGAAAAATCACACACACGCGCACACACACACACACACACACACACACACATATATATATATATTAAACTCAGAACTTTTATTATGTTTTTATTTCACAGATCCAAATCCGTCATGCAATCTAATTGCCGAGAGATTTCGCCCGGTTCGTCAAATTATTGCTTCGTTGCGAAACACACGTGTGACATGCGCCTTTAGAGACGCTTGTTAGGGCAGAGCAAGATTGACACGTCGGTCGCAATTAAAACGTAAGGGGGCACGTGGCAAATTGCGTATCAAGTTAGAGGAGTCGGGCAAGGAGGGCGAGGTATTATCATTGGCGAAATCAACTAATTAGAAATTGCGTAGACCGCTCGTTAAAGATCGCCCCGACGACCGTAATCACCAATTACTCTCTTAGTGCGCTGAACTTCGCTCATTAAAATTATTAAACGCCGCGGGCTCGTATTTGACTCGTTGTTTCTACACGACCGGCGCGGCTCGCCGATTGTAGATCGCCGAATTTTTACAGTCCATCGGGGCTGTAGAGAATATTACAATATTACGAATCATATATCTTTAACCGTGATTTTTTAACGCGAATTTGTAATCGCTTTTTCTTTCTCACGATGTACATGATAAAACGCGAATTATTCTGTACGCGGAGGATACAAGTGTAGGAAGTAATCAACCGTGCTCGTAGTTAAAATACGAATCAACTGGTAAAGCCCATATGCGCGAGATAAATCTTGACGCAAGCAGTGTTTTATCGAAGATATATCAAAATTATTATTAGTCAGCCGCACGACTCGATAATATGGCGTCATAATAGACGGTCTTCATTGTCATTTATCACTGCCGACGAACCGTTACTTTCGATCAATTACTCCACCAATACATGTGCCATATTTAGCTTATTAGTACGAAACACTCAATGCCTAATTTAATATAACCGGTCTCTCTGATGTCATAAAGATCTATCCAGATGTTGAAATGATAAAAATCCTAGGCATTCCACCGCATTCACTTAATCATTTATTCAGTTAACCAACTATCATGTATTTTTGTAAAATATATATATATATATATTCTTGTCTGGTACATCTAAATTAGTAATGATTCGAAATATGAAATGCTTCTTTTAAGTATTAATTATGAAATAAAATAACGAATAATTTGTATTCAGAGTTTGACATTTTTTATAACTGTCATAAATAAGATTCGCGGATAATCGAAAATTCTTGCTTGTCATCAGCTTTCCAGGATGGTCACGTAAAACACGCGTGAATAATGATACTGGTAATGACGTCGGGCGATTAAGAGGCCAGAAAGAGAGAGAGAGAGAGAGAGAGGGAGGGAAGGAGGGAGGGAGAAAGAGGAGAAGCAGATTTTATGGCTGATCCTCGATCATCAACTGTATAATTCCTTCTATCCGTTCTAGCTGATTGACTTGGCCGTCGGCCTCTAATTAGCAATTATGGAGAAATCGAAAACGCAGACCGATTCGGCCAAGCGGCACGCATCTCCGCTCATTAACCTCGCGGAGGATGCGGTCCGGAAGTAGGTACTCGGTTAGGTTGATAAAGACGCGGCCGCAATTAAAACTTATCATGTCGATTTATTTACGAGACGCTTGACGGAAAACTCTCCGCTTAGGAAACGCTGCCTTTGATTAGGATCTCGCCACGTGCGCGATGAGCAGTGGCGTATATCTTTAACATCTTTCTACGTAACACAAGACTAATCAGCTAACTTAACTGGTACGCAGGAAATTGAATTAATAATGCGATAGAGTTCTCGATAACGTCTCGCAGAGTTTCTAAACGATCGTTTTTACCTACCTACTTATTTATAACTACATATACGCGAGACGCCTTATAGCTGTATATGCGATTACCATATTTAACAATATGTGAAATACCATATATACGACATACTTTACTTTCGCAAATCGTGTCAGCTTACAATCATACGTGAACGAGAAAGTAACGTTGTGTGTTCGACGAGAATCTCACAATTTCGAAATTCGTGCATTACCATTTCCTTGCGCTTCGAGAATAGTCCGGCGCCAACTTGTTTGCATCCGCATTTTCCAGTGATAGGAGCACGCATTTAAAATTGAACCGTTGCGAACGATCGAAGACAGATCGCGAAAAAAAACGAAAAAAAAAACAACAGAAAAGAGTAAAAGAGAGAATAAAAAGAAAAGAATTGAAACGTCATTCGGCGAGCAATCATCGAGATACTGGGCCACGCTAGCGCGATCAGCTGTATCTCCGACAGATAAATTAGCAATTTAATTATAGAACTGTCAGCCGGTAATTAAATTAATAACGAGAAACCTCAAATCTCTCTCTCTCTCTCTCTCTCCCTCTCCAATTCACTCCGTCGTCGTAACAACCTTATGCGCGCTCTCGAGTAAAGTCGGACGCAAATATCGATATGCCGACTCCCTATTGCGTGTTTCAAAAGCCGATTTAATTAAATATTTCATTAAATTTAAATGGAATTCGATTTTAACTGCGACGTATCCCCATACGACACCGGAAAACATCGCAAATTGGTCGTTAGATCGCGGCAGGTCTCCTTCTAACTTCAATTCGAGAGCATCAGGTTCAATCCTCGAACTCGACGAGATGATCAAATGCGTGTACCGGTACATCTCGACGCATCTTTCGCGGAAGAAGTCCTTCTTACGACGTTGGTTGTTGGAGAGACGTGAAATTGTGGCGCTCGCATCTCGAATCCCCATTCGACATACCTACGTATCGTTACATAGCTAATTGCTGCATAAACAGCCGGTTTTACGAGCCAACGGGTATACGACTGACAACCGCTTCGCAAACATTAACTGCCATTAATGTGCGCGTTACATGGCATCGCATCGCGCCGGTACCGGAGCTCCAAATGTGTGAATGCCACGAATCGAAATATACGAAAATGAAATTGTTAAAAATAATCGGAGACTCTCGTCGTCATCGGATATCTGGCGTGGATGTTCTTCGTGTCAGATTCTGATTATAATGCGTTTCGAATAACTCAAACGAACCCGCAATTCTTCCAAAGCCATGAGATGCAAACATTTCCAATCACGTTGGATACTGAATCGAATCCAATCACATGTCTAATCTAATCATATGCTTGCCTTGTTACAGGATGTTCGGTAGTGGCGGCGTCTGCGCGAGTTGTGGCAACGCAATACCAGCGAACGAACTGGTCATGAGGGCCGGCGAATCGGTATTTCATCTGAAATGTTTCAATTGCAATAAATGTGGCGGACAGCTCGTCTCTGGCGACAGGTAAGAATTTGAGGGAGATATCTCTCTTATTATTATCAGATTTATAGCGCTCTTACATGACATGCGACTTTTCGACGGTTTCAGATATTACTTGCTGTCGGGCTCGCCAGTCTGCGAATCCGACTGGCACAAGATTGTCAAGTCGTCGAGCGTGGCGGCAGCGGCAGCCGCGGCGGCTGGCAACAGCGGCGCACCTGTGAGGAAAGGTAAGGTCGGCAGGCCTCGAAGGAGCCGCGAATGAGGCGGCAACCCGGTCGGTCGCCCGAAGAAGGTGCAGCCTTCTCCGCAGCCGACGCCTCCCGTCGTCGTACCCTCGCCTCAGGTCGATGTCGTGGACGTCGCCGTCGGAGTGGATCCTTATTCGCCGCCTCCGCCGGGTCATCAGCATTACCACCATTATCATCACCATCATCACCACCATCATCAGATGGCACTTGCGCATTCGAGTCTGGCGGCCCAGCAATCGCACCTGCAGGCTTCCGGCTATCAAGACTGGTCGCCCTGGACTCAGGATACCTGCGATTAAAACTGTTGCATCGCAGCAGGATCGAATCCCAAAGGACGTCGCGATGAAGAAGAAGCCTACTTTATGCGTTGCGAGTCCGGGCTTTCTAGGAGAATCGCAAGGAGAATAGAGTCTACATAGCCGTCTCTTGGGACCGCCGTTGGTGACTCTATCAGTCGAGTGTCTCCGTATACTTGGCGCCGTGATATTGAACGCGTTTGAACATGCCGCGGCAGCCAAACGTTTCCGAACATGGTACCGTGATGTTAAATATACAATAATTGAACTTGCCGCGGATATACCGAGCGATCTTTGCGCTCTGACGATGTTGGCGTCGAGTGTATACGAACTTGATACGGATGCTGATAATTTCTGACACTGGCTCAATGAATATCTTTAAACTTGGATTATTCGAAGTCGCAAATACTTCAAAACTTGATGCGGACGCCGTTTCAATCTTATAGTATATACTTGGTTTTTTTGTCCAATACTGATAAACTGACGAAATTTCTTGAAACATTTTTAATGTCGCAGTATTAATATTGAAACATCTAAGATTCATATAATGCCATTAAATTCAATTATCAATTTGGACACCATTTTTTGTGTAATAAAAAATACATTTCCTATACATCTGGGACAGGTTAAAACACTCGATACCGCATTACAGAAGCACTACCATCACGCAAATCCGCTGGTTTTCTTAATAATAATCTTTGCTCAATTGTAAAGAATCGAAGAAAGTCTAAAGCACGACTCATCGTGTATGTACCATCAGCCACAGTATAGTGACGTCAATTTTCTTCTTTAAAACCTTTTACAGTCATCGTGTTGCGATAATCTCGACAAATGATGTGGAATGTAGAATTCGTTGAATGGGCGCATGCACTCTTTCACGCCTTTGTGAAATATATCGAAATAGCTCTTTCTATGAATATCATTCTTAAAATAATTGCCAGATTATTCTGATGTCAAGAGTCTGCTTTGTTTTATTTCGGAATGATTAAGAGAGTATTTTTAATTTATACCATTTTATATCTGATATGCCATTTAAGTTGAGTTTTGCAACAGGGCATTCAATTTTTTATTGTCACTACTTTGAAAGTAATACGCATCCCTAGAATGGCGTCGCGTACTAAATCCGACATGTGCGATCGACGAGGATCTAATCACGCGAGAAAGACAGATGGCAATCGGAAG